TGAGGAGCACAGACTGGAGCACAGAACGAAGCACATCGCTCTGCGCTACTTCCTTGCTCGAGAGCTGCAGCAGCGCGGTCAGCTTCGTCTGCGTTACGTGGCCACTCGGGCCAACACTGCTGATGTGTTCACCAAGGCGCTTCAGCCTTGTGACCATCAGCGCTTCTGTATTGTTTTAGGCCTTGTGCCTACTGGTCCTCACTTGCTTACTTCTTGACTCTGCTTGTACTGTGATCTCTATATATATACCTGCATGCCTGCTTTTGCTAGGTTGTGATCACTGTATCTCTTGTTATATTATCAACCTGCATGTGAACTGGTCTTGTGACCACTTGCTTGTGCTCAGAATTTGTGTGGTTTCCCTGAGATCCACCCTGAGCTTGCTTTGCTTTGCTTTGACTGGTCTTGTGACCATTTGGTTGTCTCCCACTTAGCCTATGGGGGTGTGTCAAACATTATATGTTTATATTGTGTAGGCTATAGTGGGTTTAGCCTTAGGGGGTACAACTTTGCTAGGGTTTCCTACTTGTATCCCCATCATTCCTAGTTTCATCATTCTCGTTCACATCTAGATTCTAACAATACAGCTGGTACCGATCGATGGAGATGAAGGTGTACGAGCGACTCCTCGAGTGGCGCCGCAAAGGAACCGCGGTGTCGGTGGGCCGCCTGCAGGAGTGGTCGAAGGAGTTTATGAAGGTTCTCTACCCGCTGGAGAAGTGGAAGGGGAGTCAACGGTGGTCTGAGCGGTTTCGGAGGCGCTGGAATCTAAGCGTCCGCATGAAGACAAGGGTTGCACAGAAAACCGCAGCTCGTGAGATAGTGTTTACCGCCGCATACGGTATTTGATTGTGCTTTACCATGAGATTTACTAATTGCACCCGTGTGTATCGCCCTGTCTCCCACGTCTCGCAGATGTCGCGGAGCAGTGCAAGAGTTTTTGGCAGTTCGTCCGAGACAAGCGACGCGAACGCGGCATCGAGACCACGTGGATCATCAACGCCGACCAGACTCCTCTCTGGCTGGAGATGCCCGCCACCACGACCGTCGAGCAAGCGGGCATGCGCTCGGTGCCCATCAGGAGTCCCGGTTACCAGAAGGAGCGCGTCACCGTGATGCTGGCGTGCACGGCGGACGGCGCCAAGCTCAAGCCGTGGGTTTTTTTCAAGAGGAAGACGCTGCCGAAGGGCGACTTTCCCCCGGGTAAGTGATGTTTGTATGATGTGTGTTGCACACGTTTTTTGTTTACCGTTTCACTAATTTATTGTTTCGCTTCCCGATGTTTTTTGTGCAGATGTGGTCGTGGCGTGCCACGACAACGGGTGGATGGACTCCGCGGGCGTCATCCGCTGGCTCGAAGAGTGTGTCAAGCCGTTCCTGAAGCCGTCTTTCGGTCGGCACTCCAAGAGCTCCATGCTGGTTCTTGATTCCTATCGCGGGCACCTCACCGAGGGGGTGAAGGAGAAGTTACGCGAGCTCAACTGCGTGCCGGCGATCATCCCGTCGGGCTGTACGGGGGAGATTCAGCCACTGGATGTCTCCGTCAACAAAAGCTTCAAGGCCTCCGTCCGTCAGCAGTACCAGAAGTGGTTTCAAGAGGAGGGGCAAGAACAGCTAACTAAAGCAGGTACGGAACTGAACTGCTTTTTGTCTATGGAGGCCTCAGTCCGTCTCGTTTGTTAATGTACTCACCATCTCCCTTTTCTGTTGTTTCAGGGAATCTCAAGAAGCCGCCACCTGCAGTGGTCCTGAGGTGGATCTCGCGGGCCTGGAGGGCAGTTCCCGCCGACCTCATCAAGCGCGCATTCCTCACCTGTGGCATTAGCAACGCGCTTGACGGCAGCGAGGACGGCCTCGCCATGGCGCACAGGCGGACCCAGCTGACCGCGGAAGTGGATGTCGACGACGACATCATCGCCGATGGCTTCTTCGGCAACAACTGCCAGGAGCCCGAGTCTGACGAGGAGTAGCTAGGTAGAAAGGCCTTTGTAAACGCCTGTTCATTTAGTTCTGCATAAGCCTTTGTAATTGTTGGTGCTAGATTTCTAATGAAATGCTTTCATAGATGTTAATTGTTAGTGTTTGTCTAAAAAAAACATAAAATTTAAAGGTATGCGCTTATAATAAGTACGGGTACAAAATGGGGTGCGCCTATAATCGAGGAACGGCCATAAGCGCCATGCTCCAGATAAAAGCGCCGGCGCCTATAATCGGACGGCGCCTATATCCGGGGCCATACGGTATAAGCGCCGGCACTAATATAACGGCAAAAATGAAAATTTACATAAAATTATAAAATTATAACACACATTGTGTTTTTTTAAACTGTGTATTGTGAAGCGAAGCTGCTTGTACTGCACAATTGGCATCGTCGAAGCGCGCTAAACGCCCTTCTCCAACTACAAAAACCGTGGGTTGGAATTCATTTCCCTCCACCCACGTTTCTCGATTTTCAAACGGCTCACTCAACATTTCCGCTCGAGTAGTTTTTCCCTCCAAGCTGGCTAGGATAAAATCGCTTCCTAGAGGCGAGTCACCCTCGACTTTACTCAGCGACATTTTCAACTTCAATTGCTCAACGATGACAACTGCGCCGACACTTAACAACGGGAACTCGTCAACCCCCGCTTCCGACTCCGACCATAACACTCGCGATGCTGCGGGCGAACGCCGTAACAAGCGTCGGGCAGAAGATGGACCGCCCGCCCCGACTGCAGTGGACGTGCTGCAGGGCGGGCTCGAGTTCAACAAAAACGCCGAAACCCAGCAGCACCCTTCAGCGCCTGTGGCGACGGTAGCGGGTGCTGCACACGCGACTGACGCTGCTGTCCCTTCTACAGCAGCAGCCCGACAGCGTTACAGCCGCGGAAACTGCACTACCCGCTGCATCTGCGTCGGCTAAAAAAGAAAATGCAAAAAAGGAAAAAGGCGCGCGAGGAGCACGGACGAACCGGCATGACAACGACGCAGCGACCGCCGCTCCCCCTACTCCAGCGGTCGACAACGACACCGACGACTCTGAAGATGAAGCTGGTGAGGCTCCAGTCAACAATGCTAATTTTATTGGCACGGAACACCTCCCCCCCCTCCCTTCTTCTAACCTCACCTTCTCGGCGGCGACCTTCGTCAACGACTCCGTGCGAGAGGAAGCGGAGCTGCTGGAGGACTTGCGGGCGTACCTGCTGCACGCCGAATACAAGGAGCAGTGCGGCGACCTGGCGGGCGGACTCGAACTCATCTCACACGCTCTCAACCTCATCTCGGGGCGTTTCGAGGTGCTTCAAGTGGAGGACGCCTCCGACTTCCGCACGGCGAAGCGCTTCAAGTTGTACCAGCAGAAGAGCCTGCTGACTTCTCGACCCTTCAAGCAGGCGGTCGCGGACATGGCGGCGATGGACCGTGCGGCAAGCGGATACGCTCGTGTCAACCGCGGCGGAAACAACGCGCCGATGCCGTTCTTACCCAAGCGGGCCCCCCCGCCCACGGCCAATTGTCGTGGGTTTCGGGGCTCGTGCTTCCGCTGCGGCCAGCCGGGCCACGTGGCAAGTGCCTGCCCTAGGAACGGGCATGGCGGCCAAGGACCCGCTCCGGTGGTGTAGGAGCGGGCCATGGGACTAGGCGCTTGGGCGCTAGGCACGGTGCACACTTGAGTGCGAAAACCGTGGGCAACCCTAGGGGTTTGCGATGGCAAGAGGCCAGCCCTAGTGAAGGGTGGGAATAGGCTTTGAGCCTAGGATAGGGAAGGGGAACAACAACCCCTCGGTCCCATGTGTTTGGGCTGCGTCACCATAACCGACCCCGTTCTGCAGCGTAGAGACACCCGGGCTGTGAAGCGTCCTGGCTGGGCAGCAGAGGATGCGGCAAGGACGAAGAGAGGGCTGTACGAGGGGCGCCCAGAGTTCGTGGGGGTGTTTGGGCTGGCAGTGGAGACCTATGGGGCCTTGGCACAAGACACCCAGAGGTTCCTACGCCTCCTAGGCACCCAGGCGGCCAAGAAGAAGTACAGGCAGGGGAGGCTGACCACGGTCGCCTCCAAGCTCACAGCACACTACCGACAGCGCTGGTCGGTGATGCTCCAGCGCGGCCAGGCCAATACCCTGCTGGCAAAGTCCAACAGGGCAACTGAGCGTGCATACCCCCAGGCCCCAGTCGACCCGTGGGAGCCACGCCTTGGGGACCTCTGGCAGGTCCTTGAGGACTAGCTGGACTGGGGGCCGGACCTGGATGGGTGAGGGGGCTGGAGTAGAGGAGCGGTTGGAGGTGAGAGGACACGAAGAGGTGGTCCAGGGAGCTAGGCACTAGGTAGGCAGCTCTGAGCAGCAGGCTGGACACAGGAGTATGTGGTGGTGGTTGTTGTTGTTGTCACTTGTTTGCTAGCTGGTTTGGATGCCTAGACTGCATGTTAGGCCCTGCTGATTCCTATGTGCCTTGCCTGTACCCTGCTTATTATCAATGAAGGACCGCTTGAGAGAGAGAGAGAGAGAGAGAGAGAGAGAGAGAGAGAGAGAGAGAGAGAGAGAGAGAGAGAGAGAGAGAGAGAGAGAGAGAGAGGCATAGTCCCTTAGCCCCTTAGCCTCTCAGCCTCTCAGCCGCCCCTACCCGTGCTATATAAGGGCGTGGGTCTTGTGTGGGGCTCATTATTCAGTTCGTGGGTTCATTTCTTCTAACCCAGCGGGAGAGAGTGAGAGAGAGAGAGAGAGAGAGGCATAGTCCCTTAGCCCCTTAGCCTCTCAGCCTCTCAACCGCCCCTACCCGTGCTATATAAGGCCGTGGGTCTTGTGTGGGGCTCATTATTCAGTTCGTGGGTTCATTTCTTCTAACCCAGCGGCTCGCGCCGGCCGCCTTCGGCGGCCGACGCTCGACAGCGCGGCCTTCGGCCGCGCATTTGGGGCGGCAAGGGTCCACAAACACAAGTCGGTATATTGAGGAGCATACAAGCAATGGCAAATCTTACCGCCTAAAAGCTACGCAAACAACAATGGAGCAGGAGGAGGCAGGCACTAGAACTGATCCGTGTCAAGAACCGCCAGGAGCCCAGTTAGAGAGCGGTGCAGCTCCCGCACCGCCGCCGTGCTTGCGCCGATCACATCGGCTCCAGAGCCTGCGCGCAAAATCCGCCGCAGCCCACGGACAGCTGTACCAAGCTGCCCAACACCCGCAATTACGCCCATCGCGGGCGCAGCCAGCACGGGCGCCAGCAGCTCCGCGAGCCGGTCAGCAGCATCAAGACACTCGTCCCGCTGGCGACCATCCAGCGAGCCACCACGAGCGAGAGCAGCATGAGCGTACGCCTGGATCAGGTGCACGGCCCGCAAGCCCTCAGCGAGGCGCCACAGCTGCCCAAGCGACGCCTCAGGGACCTCAACCATGCGAGGAGGTCCCGCCCACGCCGGAAATGACAGGGCGTCAGCAACAGCAGGAACCCGCGGGGGTTCCACACGACCCGCCGGAGCGACAGCATACGCAGAGGGAGCAGGGGGAGGCGGAGCAGCTGCCAGCAGAGGCGGAACGGCAGGAACAGGAAGCGCAACAGGAGGAGGAGGCACGGGGGCTGGAGCGACACGCGGCAAGTTGCCCAGGCTCGCCTGCCCGTTCCGCTCCTCACGCACCGCAGCAGATACGACGCGCTGCAGATCCGCCATCGTCACGGGCTGTTCATACGCCCAGCCGCCACCACAACCGCGCCCTCCCCACCACCCACCACGACCGCCGCGAGCCGCGGGCCAGTTCGCTTGAGAACCGCGGCGCCGAGGGGAATCGTGGCGCCGCCGCGACGCCGCGCGCTCGTCACGAGGCGCAGGGGAATGGGGCCGAGACTGTCGGCGGCCCGGAGACGGCGGACGTTGAGCAGGAGGGGCGACGACATGCGGAGCAGCATCAGGAGCCGTCTGGACGGCCGCCGCCTGCGTTACAACAGGGGCCTGGCCGCCAGTGGTGGCGGACTCCGCCATCGGCGACGAAGCAACAGCCGCGGCAGGTGCAACAGGGTCAACGACGGCGGGCGTTGAGACAGGGACCCCCGGGATAGGCGGAGCAGCAGCAGGATCAGCAACAGCAGGCGGTGCGACAGAGCTCGCATGGGCAGCCAACGGAACAGCAGGAATTGCAGGAGCAGGAGCCTCGACAGGAAGCGGAGGGCCCGACTCGACAACAGGGGCAGACGGACCTGGCAGAGGCGACGGAGGAGCCGGGCTCGTCACGAGGTGTGGGTCCGGAGGCGGAGAGACCCCAGCGGCAGAGGGAGGTGGCCCCCGGGCAGGTGGGACTGGCGGCTTCAGCGCAGCAACACCCGAGGCAGCAGCAGGCGGGGACCTTCCGCTCACCGCTGACACAGCGGCAGCGTGCGATGGCAATGGCCACGGCTCGCCAGCAACCACCATCGCGAGGCGGGAGGCGACAAGGGGCTGGCCGACGGGGGCGAAACGGAGTCGAGGGCGGTCCGGAGAACGCGTTCCAAGCAGCTGGGCGACGGGCTTTAACCACACTAAATGAGAATGACGAGCGCGACGACCAGACTTATATAGGAGATGCACAGGCATCAAGCAGTAGTAGCGAGGGGGAAGGGGAAGAGGAGGTGAGAGAGCAGAGGGAGAGACGGGGTGGAGTGACTCGAAGAGAAACGGATGGGCAATCGGGAAGGAGAGAGCCACAGGATGTGGATCGGACGGTCACCATCCCAACCCCGACACCCAACCGCACCCCGAGCCGCGGACGAGGAAATCGAACCACGAGGAGTCAAGCACATGCGGCCCGACAGTCTCAAAACCCGCGCTATTACTCGCCAGCAGAGCTGGCTGTGAAGGCCGAATTATTCGCCGAGGTGGCGAACTGGGACATCGCACCGCTCTGCGACAGCCGCCAACCGACTTTGTTACGACGGCTACCGCCAAATTTGAGCGAGATTTTCTCGCTGGCAGTGCTGGCACCCCTTCTGCACCTCTCGCGAAGCCCGGACTCGGTCGCAGGTTGGCGGTTACTGCTTTTTCTCCCACGACTGACACTGCGACAGGGTTCGTCGAGGCGACCGGATTGGCCAAAAATCAAGGCCCGTCTCCGCGCTTTTCAACGCGGTGAATGGCAGCAACTGTACCGGGAAGCGGTGGAAGCAGTCAACACCCCGCCCGCGCCACGTCACCAACCTGACACCCTTGGCATCATCAGCAGGGCAGAAGGCCTGGCGAAGAAGGGAAGCCTTCGCCGCGCCGTATTGGCGCTCGAGTCAAACCAAGTCTGCACGGCAAGCTCCGAGATTCTGGAGGAACTCCGAACCAAACACCCACCTGCCGGACCGGACCCACTGACCTGGCCAGCCGTCACCGAACCAGATTTCCTCGAAATTCCGTACGCGGATTTTACGAAAGTGCTTAGCCGATGCGAGAACGGTGTGGGGTCCGGACCGAGTGGAATGGTGTTTGAACACATACGCGATGCGTCAGTGACAAATGCATCCGTCACCACCCATCTGCACGCCTTAGTGAACACAATTTTGCGGGGAAATCTGCCACCGCCCGTGGCGCAACTGCTCACGTCCTCGAGGCTGATTGCCCTGGCAAAGCCAGACGGTGGGGCCCGGCCGATCGCGATTGGTGAATGTCTGATGCGATTGGTGGCAAAAGCGGCCTTGTCAGCACTGGGTGAAGCAGCGCGGACCTTTTTTCTACCGCTTCAGTATGGGGTAGCTGTGCCAGGGGGGGCGGAGGCAATCATTCACAGCTCACGCGCATACATCGACGCACATCCCAGCTGCCTAATCCTACAGACCGACATCTCCAACGCCTTCAACAGCATAAACCGACAAGCCATTATTACAGCACTACAAGACCAGTCCCTCACCCCCCTACTCCCACTGGTCAAACTCACCTACGGCAATCCGTCATCACTATTCTTAGACGCCGGCTTCAACAGCCAGCCGCTGACGAGTGAACGTGGGGTGCGACAAGGGGACCCCTTAGGTCCACTGTTGTTCGCGGCTGGGATCCATCCAGCCCTGAAAGCGACCGCAACAGCATACCCAAGCGTACTGTGCTTAGCATACGCCGACGACGTGAGCTTCTTGGGAGACCCGCGCGATACTGTAGGAGCGTTTACCCACTTCACCAACCAACTGGAGGAAATAGGACTGCGTCACAACCCTGCCAAATGCGCCGTGTGGAGCAATCAGCCGGTAGAAACAGCGATACAACTGCCGCCCGGGGTACCGTTTAGTGCGGATGGCGTGAGACTCTTGGGCAGTTTCCTAGGAACATCGTCCGCTGCCGCCGCCTTTCTCTCCGCCCAGCTAGAGTCCATGTCCAAACCGCTACCATTCCTCGAACGGATGGACCCACAGGTGACAGCTCTCCTGTTAACACGGTGCATTTCACGCAGAGTAGCATATCTCACACGAACCACCCCTCTGCAACTCCTAGACCGTGACACGTGGTCACAATGGGGTCAGGACCTGCTGGTCACCCTTCTCACAGCGTGCAGAATACGGTTTCCAACGGATAGCGCAGAACAGAGCCGTGTCTGGGAACAATCATCACTGCCTCCGTCCCTAGGTGGCATTGGACTAGCAGACCCAACGGTAGAAGGCACCTACGGCTTCCTAGCCAGTTTTACGTAGGCCGCCCTTCTCCTGAGCCAACTGCCACTGGAGCCGGATGGGGCCTTGAGAGCCGCACGAGACCATATGCTGCTACCCACTGGCACACCCTTACACCAGTGGCTGACACTCTGCGAAACAGAGCTGCCGGAGGAGGCAAGGGAGATCCTAGACAAAGAGAGACTAGAGCCAGCGGGGCTGAGGCTACAGCATGAGATAGGGGTGAGGGTGCAGGGGAGAAGGTATGCCACGCAAGTGCAAGCAACACGACGTATGGATCTGAACCCCCTGTCAGGCCACACACAGCGATTCCTCTCTCTGACCGGCTACGGCACAGGGGACTGGTTGACGGCCATCCCAATAGAAACCACCCGCCGCATAGGACCAGAGCACTTCTCCAACAGCGTTCGCTTCAGGCTCGGGCTGCCCTTCTCCACACCTCGGAAGTGTGACTGCTCGAAACATGTGGAGATCAAGGACCCGCGGCTGCCAAACCATCTCTTCCGCTGTGGCACAGGCAAGCATAGGATCAATACCCACAACGAGCTGCGGGACGCGTGCATTAAGATGGCTGAGGACGCCGGCTTCATAGTCTACAGAGAGTCAGCGGCTTTTTGCCCCATAGAGGAGCAGACCGCGGATTTCACTATGCAGGACAGGAGCTCGGGAGCGGTCTACGTGTGTGATGTCACCATCACGGACCCCATTAGTACCAGGGATCCAAACGCTACCAAGGGGAGAGGATGGGCAGCAAGGGAGCAAGCCGACAAGAAGATTAGCCACTATGCCAACCTGCCTGACACCGTCAGCTTCTTCCCCCTGGCGGTTGAGACATATGGCTGCCCTTGTGCCGAAGTCCCGAAGTTTTTGAAGCTTCTGGCGGACACAGCTGCTAGGCGTCATTTCAACGCCTTACCAACCTCCTTCCATGCAGCTAGGTTCCTCCACCTCTTCAGGCAACGCTGGTCGGTGGCGCTACAACGGGCACAGTCCGTCGGATACATCATTAAGACCTGCCAGGCGGCCGTAGCAGAGAACCCCCCGGTGGGAGGGGTCCGGTCCGAGCTTCACCTTGGGGATTGTTGTGTTGTGTTGGAACCTCTCATGGAGGTGTAGATAGGCACAATGGGGTCTGGCTGGCTAGTAGTAAATCCCTTGTTCTAGGCTCTATACTTGCATGTGTGTACCTCTTTGACATATCAATACAAGGACCATTAGAGAGAGAGAGAGAGAGAGAGAGAGAGAGAGAGAGAGAGAGAGAGAGAGAGAGAGAGAGACTTAGCCTCTGCCCTCTGCCCTCTGCCCTCTCCCCTCCTGCCTTCCTAGCTATATAAGAGGCCTACCTAGGCCTCTCTTCCTCATTCTTCAGTTGTGTGGCAGAAGTTTTCGGCTCGCGCTAGGGACGGCAAGTGAGAAGCACACAAGCGACTATACGCACGACATACACGCAATGACAACATCTACTACTGCTTAATTCAACCATGGATCAAGCCGCGGCGGGTGCTACATCCGATCCGCCTGCAGGGCATCAAGGATGCCCGTCATCGTCTGCCACACCGAGCACACCACCAGGATGGTTGCGCCAATCGCGTCGGCTCCGGAAACTGCCCGCAGATACCGCCGCAAGTCCCTCACGGCCGAATCCAGCTGACCCACAGCCCCTACGCTTCCCCGCACGGGCGCTGCCAACACAGGCGCCAGGAGGAGGGCAATCTGGTCGGCCGCGTCAAGACAGTCGTCTCGTGGGCCGTCCAGCAGGGACTCCGCAGGAACAGGCGGAAGTGACCCGTGCGCCAGCGTCTACACCAGTAGTAGCGCCCGAAGGCTCTCCGAGAGCCGCCACAACTGGCCGAGGGTCGCCTCAGGAACCTCGGCACGCGGAGGACGGAGTTCCTCCGCCAGAGAGGGGAGTCGGAGTTGAGGGAGCCCGGCCCCACCAAACTGATCTGGAGGCGAGGGAGCCGGCAAAGACACCGCCTGCGCTGGGGCAACCGCAGGGCGAGCAGCAGGAAGGGGGGAAGTTGGCGCTGGAGACACACGCCGCGAGCTGCTCTGACTCGCCGGACCGGCACGACCGTCGCGAAACGCCTCGGTCACTATCTGCCGTACATCGGCAATTGTCGCGGGTGCGCCCAGCCACCCGCCACGCCCGCGACCGCGACCTCCCCCCCAGCCGCCCTGGTGCGCATGCCAGTTCGCCTGCGGCTGCCGCCGACGAGGGGAGTCACGCCGACGCCGAGACACATCCCGCTCATCTCGTGGGGAGGGCGGATGAGGACGGGAGTTACGCTGCTGCGCAGCCGGGGGAAGGAAGGGTGCAGACGAGGGAGCCATGGGGAGCGGAAGGGCAGACCCCCCGCCCGGCGCACCAAGGGACGCGGCAGGAGGCGCCACAGGTAGCGCCACAGGAACCACTAGAGGTGCCGCCAGAACCGGCGCAGGAAGTGGTGCCACACCAGACGCAGGCGCCACAACAGCAGCATCAGCAGCCGCCGTAGCAGGCGACGGCAACACCGGAACGGGAGGCGCAGGAGAGGGCGCCGCGCCAGGAGCAGGAAGAGGCGCCACGTCAGCCGCAGGCGCCAGAACGAAGGCAGGTACAGGCGTTGGCGCCACCTCGCGCGGGGGGGGCGGCCACACCCGCCGACTCTCGTCCAGAGTCGACTACCATGGAGCACGCGTGAGCAGGAGAACCGGCGGCAGACATCGCCGCAACAGGGGCCACCGGCGCCGACAGCACCGGCGAGGCAAGCGCAGCAGACGCCACGCCAAAGGGCCGCGGCGAATACGGCACCGGGGAACCGCCTCCAATCGCCACAGGCATCACGAGGTGGCAGAAGCGGGCGGCAGCGAGCCGCGGGGAGAGGCCGAGGACGGGAGAACGGCTTCCAACGGGCTGCGAGGCTAGCTTTAACAGATGCGGATGACAACAACGCGGCGGAGGATGAAGCAGATGAGGCACAAGACCCCACCTTTATTGCCCAGCCAGCCGTTGAATCAACCACAGAAGGAAGTGGTGGGGATGAAGGTGAAGCTGCTTCAGGAGTCGATAGTCGAGTGAATGTTGACACACATCCCCGAGCCGCATCTGCACCAGTTGGAATTGGGGTGGAACCAAACCCAGACGCACCCCCCACCACCGCACCACCGACACGCCCATTCTCGCCAGAACAGCTGGCGAAGGACAATATCCGCTTCAACGAAATTCGCACCTGGGACCTGACACCACTACGCGATAGTCGTCAGCCCCCCCTCTCCCGCAAAATACCGCACGACATCCGCACCAGCTTCGCAAACACGCTGCTGACACCCCTGCTGCACCTCGCACGCCACCCTGACTCAGTACCGGGTTGGCGCCTGTTACTCTTTATTCCCCGCCTAATCCTTCGCCAGGCGAAACCAGGGAAGCCGGATTGGCCCGCAGTGAAGTTGCGACTTCGTCAGTTTTTCAAGGGCGAATGGGAACAGCTGTACGAGGCAGCTGTGGCAGCGATCAACACCCCTCCAGCGCCACGTCACCAGCCGGACGAGTTGGGAAAGCGCGCCAGAGCGGAGGGACTTGTTCGAAAGGGCAGCCTTCGGCGGGCTATCCTAGCCCTCGAATCTACACTCGTGGCAGATCCAACGCCTGAAACACTGGATTCACTCAAATCCAAGCACCCACCCGCGCCACCTGGACACATTGACTGGACACCAATGGACGAGGCCCACGTGGTGACCATCACCTCAGCTGCATTCGCGAAAATCCTATGCCGCTGCGAAAACGGAGTGGGGGAAGGGCCATCTGGGATGACGTTCGAACACCTCAGGGATGCAGCTATCGCCAACGCAGCCGTTACCACCCACCTCCACGCTCTCGTTAGCACAATACTCCCCGAAGAGGTGTGCTCCTTGCTTACGTCCTCCCGCCTCATCGCTCTCGCCAAGCCAGAGGGAGGGACTCGGCCCATAGCTGTAGGAGAGTGTGTCCTACGCCTCGCGGCAAAATCGGCACTTTCCTCACTGGCAGAAGCGGCACGAGCCCATTTCCTCCCACTCCAGTACTGCGTCGCCGTCCAGGGAGGTAGCGAAGCGATAATCCACGCCGCCAGATCGTACATGAGCACGCATAGCGACGCCACGATTCTTCAGGCGGATCTCTCAAACGCATTTAATAGCATCAGTCGCGAGGCAATCGTAGCAGGCCTACGCGGAAGTACGCTAGAAGGGATCCTCCCTCTAGTTCACTCCTCTTACGGCGTGCCGTCTTAGCTATTTCTCGACGCTGGCTTTAATAGCCCTCCCATATCCAGCATTATAGGGGTCCGCCAGGGCGACCCACTCGGGCCCTTGCTCTTCGCCGCAGGTATCCACCCGTCCCTCGCCGCGACCGCAGCCGCCTTCCCGACCGTACTCTGCCTCGCATTCGCTGACGATGTCCCGTTCCTGGGGAAAGTGGCGGAGTGTACAGCGGCGTTCAATCACTTCACGTGCAGCCTCCGTAGCATGGGGCTCAGGCACAATGCGGGGAAATGTGCGGCGTGGAGCGCTGTTCGACCATCGGAGGGGGCCTTGCCAGATGGGGTCCCATTCTGCCCCGACGGGCTGCGTGTTCTGGGCAGTTTCATCGGCGCGCCAGATGGAGCAGCCGCCTTTATTCGGGCACAGCTGCAAGCCATGACAACCCCACTCCCGCAGATAGCCGACCTGGAACCGCAGGCAGCATCACTGCTGCTGACGAGGTGCATCTCGAGGCGGATGTCATACCTCGCGCGCACAACCCTACTCAGCCTTCTGCCTGAAGAAGAATGGTCACGTGGGGCCAGACGCTGCTCCACACACTGCTCGACGCCTGCGGCGTGCGCCATCCGAGGGGGGATGCGGAGGAACGACGCGTGTGGGACCAGGCTTCCCTCCCCCCAAGCCTGGGAGGCCTGGGGCTGGCGTACCCAGCGGTTGAGGGGCGCTACAGCTACCTGGCAAGCTTCGTCTAGGCGCACGGACTCCTTGCCTCCCTGCCCGGCCCCGCAGGGGCTCACCTCTCCACCACCCTGAACTGGACAGAGGAGGTGGACCCGGACCCGAACCAACTGCAAGCCTGGCTCGGGGAGTGCAAGGCAAGCCTCACACATGAGGGACGTGACCTTCTGGCGGCAAAAATGGCAGCGCCCAATGGACAGCTGCAGCACCGCCTTGCCCTCTTGGTCCAGGGCGGACGCATTGCCGCTCAAGTTGCAGCATCACGGCATATGGAGCTGAACCCCCTATGCGGCCACACTCAGCGGCTCTTGTCCCTCACAGGCTACGGTGCAGGGGACTGGCTGATAGCCATCCCCTACATGCCCTCCCTCCGCCTCGACCCCGACCACTTCTCGTTCGCCCTCCAGTTCCGCCTAGGACTGCCTCTCCCCGTCCCTAGCAACTGCGACTGCACAGACAGAGTCGCCATAGCAGACAAGCGCCTCCCCAACCACCTCCTCCGCTGCGGCACAGGGCACGGACGGACCAACACACACAATGAGCTGCGGGACGAGTGCGGTACAGACAATGAGCTGCCAGACGCTGCTCCACACACATGGCTCAGGACGCGGGGTTCATTGTTCATTGTACACACACAAGGAGAGTACGGCATTTAGCCCGGTCGACAACAAAAAGGCCCACCTGGCTTTTCGGGACAGAAGCAGTGGGGCGGTGTGGCTGGGTGACATAACCATCACCGACCCTATCAGCAAAAGGGACGAGACTGCCAGGAAGGGAAGGGGATGGGCAGCAAGGGAGGCAGCAGATAAGAAAATAGGGCTATACCACGGCAGGGCTGAATTTGCAGGCTTTTACCCTCTGGCAGTCGAGACCTATGGCTGCCCATGTGACGAGGTGCAGGCTTTCCTGAAGCACCTGGCGGACAGAGCAGCACGCTTGCACTTCAGCGCGGACCCCTCAAGCTTCCAGGCCGCAAAGCTGCTAGGATCCACAAACGAACGCGCCCGCGTCTCCCACGCGGGCTCCCCCGGCCACCGCCGCGCCTGGAACTCCCGCCACGCCTCCCACCACTCTGGCTCCGGCTCTGGAGCGCCCAGCGGCGCTCGAGGCGGGCCAAAACCAGCAAAGACACGACCAGGAGGACCGCCGACATCAAGCGGCGGAAGCGACTGCGGCACCTGCGAACGGGAACGTGAACGTGGGCGGCGAGGACGGGGAGAACGATATGGCCGAGCAGCAGCACGGGGCGAACGGCACACACGATCCCGCCTCGCTGCCCGCCCGCCGCGCTGGCACGGCGGCCTCACGGCGGAACGCCCGCCCTCAGCCAGCGCCGCTGCGGCTCGGAGCAACGCTGGGACGGAGCCAGCCGGGTCCCGTGCATGGCTGGCAGAACCAGACGCAGCAGCAGCCGTCAGCGCCCGCTGCAGCTGACCCCACGCGGGCTCAGACATCCCCGCTGAACGGAGGTAGGGTGGCAGAGCGACGGAAACGGCGGCGGCGATGGCGGACGAAGGAGAGCGGGAGGAGATCCCGCAGGAAACGCTCCGAGTGACCAGGAGCGCCACGATGCGTGGGGGGGTTAGGTGGGGACCACCAAGGCCGGGCCGCCGGACTGGCGTGAGAGCGCCGTGGATCCCGGGAGGTGGAAGGAACCCCGCCACGCGGGGTCGGGGTATAGCGCGGGGAGGACGGGCACGGGGAGGACGGGTGGCGCGCGCAACACGAGATCCGCCACGATTGGCACGGGTGGGGACTTGGAGGGAGAGGCACGAGCGCGCGGAGATCACTCCCGAAGCGGAGGGAGATGCAGGGCTGGGAGTTACTGGGACTACGAGTGATGGAGGGGGGAATTATACCCCCTCAGGCGCGCCCTCGAATGATACCAGCCCAGCGGGATCAGGCGATGAAGGTGGTGGTAACCACCAGGTGCGGAGAGGAGGGATAAGGAGAGGAACAAGAGGGGCGGGAAACCAACCAGCTACGGTCACGGCAAACGCAGGCACGGCGGAGGAAGCAGGTCAGGGAACAGATGGAGCAGCCACACAGTCAGTTACTGCCACGGCAACCCCCGGCTCGGCGACAGCGAGGCCACGCCAGCCGTCGGATTTGGCGGGGGACGAAGCACTTTGGGGCCCAGTCGCAGCCTGGGAATTGACAGAGCTACATTCCTCAAGCCAACCCTTCCTCACGCGCCGGCTCCCAGTGAAGCTTCTAGAAGCCTTCACGCTTTGCCTGCTTACGCCCTTGACTAGTCTGGCGAAACACCCAGAGTGCCCGGGGGGTTGGAGAATGTTAACCCTACTACCCCGCCTGACACTCCGCCCGGCACCGACGAGCCAGGAGGGGAATCGGTGGATCGAAATTGCTGGGCGTTTGGCTAAGTTCCAGACTGGCGAGTGGGAGCAACTGTTTACCGACGCAAAGTTGCTGGACGGTGTAGAGACACCACAGCGGCACGAACTGGATCCAACCGGGCTATGTGCCCGAGCGGAGAACTTGGTTCGCAAGGCGAACCTGAGCAAAGCGGTTGCGGCGTTACGAGCGACACCCCTCGCACCGGCGACGGTCGCCACACTTGCGGCCCTACAGAACAAACACCCCCAGGCGACGGAGGCGTTACCCGAATGGGTAACGAGTGTTACCTCGTCCAACCTGGCGATCTCAACCGACACACTTCGCGAAGTGCTGATTCGATGCCCTAACGGGGTTGGAGCTGGACCTTCAGGGATGTGTTTCGAACACCTACGTGAACCTGCGCTAGCTAGTGAGGAAGTACTGGGTCTTATGCTCAAGGTCGTCAATCACCTCCTTAGCTCAACAGTAGCAGCAGGAGTACGGGAGGTGGTGCTACCGTCACGACTCATAGCCTTATCCAAGCCCGACGGCGGTGTTCGACCGATCGCAATAGGCGAAACGATCCTACGCATAGCGGGAAAAGCGGCCTTACGAGCACTAGGCGCTCAGATCCGCGAGTTCTTCATCCCGGTGCAATTCGGAGTGGCAGTTCATCATCCACTCCGTCCGCGCCCTACGACAGCTGCAGCCAGCATCAACGATCCTACAGCTCGATATAGAAAATGCGTTCAACTCCGTGAATCGCGCGAGCTTCTGTGACGCACTGAGATGGTCCAGCATGCTCGAGCTGCTCCCGTTCGTATTGACGATGTACGGGACGCCCTCAGCATTGCTTCTAGACGCTAGCCTGGGAGGCCATCCCCTAACGAGCGGTCGCGGCGTCCGTGAAGGAGACCCGCTGGGGCCGTTGTTGTTCGCAGCAGCAATCCAGCCGTCCCTGGCACGCACGACGCCTTCACACCCCGAAGTAACACTGCTGGCCTACGCCGACGACATCACACTTATCGCCCCCCCAGAAGCAGCGGCTCGAGCCTTCAACTTCCTCATAGCAGACCTGGAGCGGTGTGGGCTTCGTTGCAACATGGCGAAGTCTTGCTGCTGGAACGCGGACCCGCGGTCAGACACCCTGTTCCCGCCTGATCTGCCGCAGGTCCGCACGGGAGTGAAGATTCTGGGGAGCCCGGTGGGAACCACAGAGTTCTCCGCGGACTTCTTGCGGCGACAGATCGAAGAGGCCGCAGAACCACTACCACTCCTATCCCAGCTCAACCCCCAACACTCCCTGCTGCTGATAAGTCGCTGCATATCGAGGCGTGCGTCCTACCTCCTACGCACGACTCCAGCGAGCTCAGTCAGCCTAGCGACATGGCGGGAATGGAGCGAGGGGCTCCTGCCTACGGCCCTCTCAGCAGCAGCAATCAGGTGGCCGAGCCACGAACTGCACCAGAGCCTGCTGTGGCGGCAGGCCACACTACCTGTCAGCCTAGGGGGACTGGGGATCATAGACCCCATATCAGAAGCACCGGCGACCTTCTTAGCATCAACTGCGGCGGCGACTGAACTACTGGCTTCGCTACCCCTCGAGCCAACCCACCCGCTGGCGGCAGTAAGGGCGGCCCTATCGCCAGAAGCTGACGTAACCTCAGCACTGGGAGAAACGTTACGGGATATGGAGGGGAGGCTGCCAGAACAAGGAAAGCAACTGCTGAGAGACCGGCACGCCAACCCTCGCCCCGGCCACTTGCAGCTGGCCCTCTCACGCGCCATCAACAAGGCTAGGGCGCTGAACCTCTTGGATGACACCCTCATAGACCGCCCAGGGACTGACAACGGCCACGGCGTCAGGCTGGTAAGCCTGAGGGGAACCGGAGCAGGGGACTGGCTGAATGCCACACCGACAAGGCCAGACCTCACCCTATCGGCAGGACAGTTTGGCACGGCGCTGGCCTTCCGCCTAGGGCTGCCCCAGGCGGTAGCAGCAAAGTGTCCATGCGGCGGGGACCGGACAGACATAACAGATCCGAGCCTGCCTAACCACCTGCTACGCTGTGGGACCGGGGGGGATAGGACACGGACCCACAACGCACTGGTCTACGGCTGCATCCGCATGGCTCGAGAGGCAGGCTACACCACGTCGGGGGAGACGACAGCATTCTCAGTCCCCTCCAACGTGATCAAGGCAGACCTCTCCCTGCGGGATCAGGAATCGGGGGGCACCTGGATAGGCGATGTCACCCTCACCGACCCTGTACTGCTCCGCCGAGACCTCAAAGTGCGGAAGAAGCCAGGTTGGGTAGCTAGGGAAGCGGCAAGGACCAAGGAACTCCTGTACGAGGAGCGGCCAGACTGGGTAGGCTTGTTACGATAAGAATGAATTGATAGAAAAAAGTGAAGTACAACCCTAAATATAGCAAACCCTAATCATGCAAGTAAGTAGAAATGTAACACCTAGACTAACGTAAACAACATATATAAAATATATGTTGACACACCCCCATAGTCTAGGTGACGGAAGTCCTGTAGAAACAACAAGAGCAAGCAACGGTCACAAGACCAGTCCACAAGAACAAGACAAATCTCAGGGTGGAGCTCAAAGTCACCACACACTTCGAGAGCAAGCAAGGGGCCACAAGGCCAGTCCACATGCAGGTATATAGCAAATATAAAGAGATGCAAGAGTACAAGACATGCAGGACAAGGCATCTCTAAGCAAGCAAGTGAGGACGGGCAGGCACAAGGCCAAGCTGGGTGCAGAAACGCTGGTGGTCACAAGGCGGCAACGCCTTGGTGAAGATATCTGCCGTGTTGGCCTCAGAGACCACACGTCAAACGAGTGCCTGTCCACGCTGCTGCAACTCACGCAGAAGGAAGTAACGAAGCTGGATGTGCTTCGCCTTCCCAACCAGTCGGGGCTCCTCACACAACAGGACAGCATACCTGTTGTCGGAGAACAAGACTGGGGGAGAGCGAGGCCGCTCACCAAGGTCGGTGAGAAGGAAAGACAGCCAGCGAAGCTCCTGAGCGGCCATGGCCGCAGCGTACACCTCTGCCTCACAGCTGGAACCGGCGACGGACGACGCCCGAGTCGACCGCCACGAAACAGCACCTGCCCCGAGACTAAAGGAGTACCCCTGTGTAAACCGACGCGTCTCCGCGTCGTCGGCCCACGACGAGTCCGAATAACCTGTGAGTGTAACTGGCTGCTTCCCTCCAAGGACAAGTCCCATGCCTGATGTACTCGCCACAAACTTCGCCACCCTCTTAGCAGCGTACCAGTGGGAAGGTCGGTGTCTCCCAGGCGCAACAAAGTGCGCAAGGACGCTAAGAGGGTAAGCTAGGTCTGGGCGAGTACAGGTCATTAGGTACATGAGACAACCCACCAGCTCAGGATATGGACCACTGGACTCAAATGACTCGTCTGAAGGTGGAGCCGTGAGCCCATGATCCACACCAAGAGGGGTGAGCTGTACCTTGGAGAACGGGAAGCGAAACCGCGTGAGGATCTGCTCGACCATATGTGACTGAGTCAGCGTAATGGTGCGAGGTGCCCTGTCCCTGGTGATCTGCAGGCCAAGGTAGTGCTGCAGCTCACCAAGGTCAGTGCAAGTGTGTCTCCTCTGCAGTTCCTCCTTCACGAAGGCCAGCGCGCGTCGGTCGGGGGTGGCAAACACCAGGTCGTCGACGTAGACCAGGACAAAGGACGAGGTCGAGCCACGGCGAACGAACAGTGACGGGTCAGCAGACGACGGAAAGAAGTCAAGCGCTGCAAGGGTCGAGCGAAGTGTGTCGTGCCACTCACGTGGAGCCTGACGCAGGCCGTAGACTGGTCGACGCAGCTGCCACTGGGTCCCAGGTGGGAAAGAGCCAGTGAAGCCAGGCGGGCAACGCAGCCAGATCTGCTCGTGCAGGCTCCCCTGAAGGAACGCGGTGGAAAAGTCCAAGGAGTGCAACTCGTAGTCGCGCTGGGCTGCAATATGCAGCAACACCCGAAGAGTACTCATCTTCGGGGTGGGAGCAAAGGTCTGGAAGAAGTCCACCCCCTCTCGCTAACTGAAGCCTCTCGCCACGTAGCGCGCCTTGAACACAGGTGGTGATCCAGGCGGCCGCTTCACCTTGTAGAGCCATCGGCCACTGACGACGTTCGTCCCAGGTGGTGGGACTGCGTCGACGTAAGTGCCTGTGGACCTATAAGATGCCATCTCTGCCTCCTCAGCAGCTATCCAGTACGAGGCCCAAGGTCCCGAGACCGCCTCAGCGTGATTGCGAGGGATCGAGATGTCAAGAGCGTCTGGATCCCCCTCAGGGGTAAGCAGCATGGCACAGAGATGAGGAACAGCGGCCGCAAGGAAACCAAGCTCAAACTGCCTGTCCTCTAGGACCTCCAGGGGAAAGACAGGAGCACCCCCAGGGGACGGAGAACGAGCAGGGCCACTCACCAAGTGAGCGGCGTAGTCAAGGCGGTGGGAAGAGGCAAAGCCAGCGACAGTGGTAACAAGTGCTGAGACAGACGACAGGGGTGCAGTCGGGTGAGTGACCAACGCGGACAAAACACGGGAGACGACAGGACGGGAAGCACGGAGGTAGTCGGACAACGGGTCATGAAGCACAGTGAGGGACGACTCAGGGGGTTGTGGAAGGACAGGAGGAGGTGGAACACGAGAGCGAAGAACAAGGTGGAACAGACCGTCTGCACGGTAATGGGACCGACGACGCTCTTGGGACACAGCACGACTGAGGGGAGAACGACGAGTCCACTGGGACGAGGAAAGGGACTCAACAGGGGGAACAGGAGGGGACGGTAGGGGACCACGAACAAAGCGTGCAGGTGCTGGGTCGGGGAGGTCGCGTAGTCGCAGTCGCTGCTGCTCCGCCTCCTCTGGCGTCTGCTGCGACGGTACCGGCCCCTGCTGCTGCTCATGTGGCTCCGCCTCTGCCCTCTCCTGCTGCGACTGCAGCTGCACCCGCTGCTGCGACCGGGACTCCTGTGCTACCCTCTCCTGCTGCGGCCGTGACTCCTCCTCTACTCTCTCCTGCTGGGTCTGTAACTGCACCTGCTGCTGCGGGTGCGACTCCTGCTCTACACTCTCCTGGTGCGGCCGTGACTGCTCCTCTACTCTCTCCTGCTGTGTCTGTAGCTGCACCTGCTGCTTCGGGCGGGACTCCTGCTCTACCCTCTCCTGGTGCGGCCGTGACTCCTCTACCCTCTCCTGCTGCGGCTGGGACTCCTCCTCTACTCTCTCCTGCTGCTGCTGCTGCTGGTGCTGCTGCTGCTGCTCCTGCTGCTGTGCCCTCTCAAACCGCTCACGCTCCTCCCTCTCCAACCTGAGGAGACGCTGCTCACGGGTCAGGAAACGTACAGTGCGCGGTGTAGGCGCCACAGTGCCAGTGCCTCCAGCTCCAGCACCCCCAGAACCAGCACCTCCACCACCGACACCCCCGGGGCCTCCAGTACCTCCCGCAGGAACACCCCCAGGCTCCGCAGCAACCGGCCGCAGAGACGAGCGAGGAGGAAACTGCGGGACGGACGGGAAGCCAGGGGGTGAGGCAGGGCGAGGCCGCCGACTCGAGGCTG